CCAGGGCCTTGCTTACACTAGGCACACCCTCTACCACTGACATATCTCTCCCCCTCCCCCCTTTATTGATTGAGGTCTCCTATGTTGCCCAGATTGATATCAAACTCCTTAGCTTAAGGGATTCTGCAAGCTCAGCCTCCTAAGTAGCTGGAAATACAGGTGTGTGCCAGAATGTACCAGGTAACCTTCCATTTAAAAAGCTGTAATTAGATGGGTTTTCTGTTCCTTGCAGCTGAAAGCAGTCCTGAGTGAGATGTGCCCTCAGCCCAGCTGCAGCCCACTTTTGCAGAGTGTGCAAGGCCTTTGCAGGAGCCTGGCCTCTGGGGATTGGTGGGGGAGAAGAGGAGGGAGGCTGGGAGAACCCTGTGTTGGTAGATGACTTTGGACACGTGCACTGCTGCTTTGCCCTTTGTCTGCTTCTCAGCTGGTGTGGGCCTGCTCTCAGGTCCTTTCTTGTGTGGTGGAGTTTGTGCCACTCTGGAATTGGAAGCTGGGGAGCTGCAAGGTCTGAGAGGGAGGGAGCATGGGCAGCCAGGTGCTCACTGCAGGTGCCATATAGGCCTGAGGTGCTGCAAGGGCTCGGCTGTGCTGGGGCCTCTGAGGGGAGAGGGGCCAGCTTTTGCCAAGGGAGATGCCTGGTTCATTTCAGAGCTTGTAGAATCTGTAACTGGTGCCTCATATGGCAGAAGGTGCTTTGCAGATGTGACAAAGTTGAGGGTCTGAGGTGGGAGATTGTTTTGGGTCAGGTAATCACAGGGTCCTCTTAAGAGGGAGGCAAAGGACTCTTGGGGATATACCCAAAAGACTGTGACACAGGTTACTCCAGAGGCACCTGCACACCCATGTTTATTGCGGCACTATTCACAATAGCCAAGTTATGGAAACAGCCAAGATGCCCCCACCACCGACGAATGGATTAAGAAAATGTGGTATCTATACACAATGGAATTTTATGCAGCCATGAAGAAGAACGAAATGTTATCATTCGCTGGTAAATGGATGGAATTGGAGAACATCATTCTGAGTGAGGTTAGCCTGGCCCAAAAGACCAAAAATCGTATGTTCTCCTATGTGGACATTAGCTCAAGGGCAAACACAACAAGGGGACTGGACTTTGATCACATGATAAAAGCGAGAGCACACAAGGGAGGGGTGAGGATAGGTAAGACACCTAAAAAATTAGCTAGTATTTGTTGCCCTCAACGCAGAGAAGCTAAAGCAGATACTTTAAAGCAACTGAGGCCAATAGGAGAAGGGGACCAGGAACTAGAGAAAAGGTGAGATCAAGAAGAATTAACCTAGAAGGTAAAACACACACACAGGAAATGAATGTGAGTCAATGCCCTGTATAGCTATCCTTATCTCAACCAGCAAAACCCCTTGTTCCTTCCTATTATTGCTTATACTCTCTCTTCAACAAAATTAGAGATAAGGGCAAAACAGTTTCTGCCGGGTATCGAGGGGGTGGGGGGGAGAGGAAGGGAGTAGGGTGGGTGGGAAGGGAGGGGGTGGGGACAGGGGAGAAATGACCCAAACATTGTATGCACATATGAATAAAAAAAAAAGAGGGAGGCAAAGGGAGGTCTGGTTACATAAGGTGATGAGGGAAGCAGCGATGGGAGGCATGTGTTTTGAGGATGGAGGGAGAGGTAGGAGTGCAGGTGGCCTCTAGAAGATGGAAAAGGCAAAGAGGGCTCTTGGAGGGACAAAGCCCTGCCAGTACCTCAATTTTAGATGCCATGTTAGCTTTCCATTGCTGTGACAAAATACCTGAGATAATGTTACAGCATGGATCTTAAATGTCAAAGGTTTGGTCCCCAGCTGCTGGTGGTGTTACTGGAAGTATAGACATGTCAAGAGGTGGGGCTAGTTGGAGGAAGGAGGTATTCCCTTGAAGGGAATATTGGGACCCCTGACCCTTTCGTTCTCTTTTGTTTGCTTCCTGGTCACCATGAGATAAGCAGCCTCCCCTGGTGCCATGATGTGCTGTCTCTCACAGGCCTAACAGCAGTAGAGCCAGCAACCATGGATCAAATCCTCTGAAATCACAGGCCCAAATAAACCACTCCTCATTTTAAGTTGTTTATCTCAGGTATTTTGTCACAGTAACAGAAAGCTGACTAACAGAGACAGTCAAAAGAAGGAAAGATTTGTTTTGGCTTATAATTTCAGAGGTCTCCAGTCCATGGTTACTTGGCCTATGAGCAGGAAGCACTTCATGGAAGAAGAACATGGTGGAGGAGGTCTTTTCAGGAACCAAATGTGCATGGAGGACTATCTGATTTTCCCTTCAAGGGCACACCCCTAATGACTTAACTTCCTCCCTCCAGTCCCCTCCTTTTAAAGCTTCCACCACCTCCCAATAGCACCCCATGATGGTGACCAGACCTTTAACACATGGGTGTTTGGGGGAACTTTAAGACAAAAATCACATAGGTGCCCATCTCCAGTACCGTGGTATAAGCTTGTATTGAAGTCACTGAGTTTGTGGTCATTTGCTACGGTGGCCATGGGAAACTGATACAGACAGATTTGGATCCTTGTTGGGATCTAGCCCGCCTCACCTCCCTGCTGTCTGGCTAGATGAGCAAGTGTGTCCCCTCCCCCATCTTCCTGCTCATTCTTGTACTGACATTCTGTGCTGGGCTTAGACAGGGCCTGGGATGTCTTGGCTGCAACCTTCCACTGGCACCTCCAGCCCAAGCTGTGGAAACCCGGTAGGTCTTGGCTGGCCCTGGCCCCCCAACCTCTGCTGCTGTAGCTCCAGGCTCCTGGCATCTCTGCTTGACCCGATGGCTTGTGACATCCCTCAGTTGACAAAAGTTCTGGATTCTGGATGTACAGCCACCAGCCTTGTGACCTTGAACCATATTCTCATGTCTGAGCTGCAGTCTCTCGTCAGTAGGTGAGCCCTGACTGCACCCACCTTAGACGGCACAGCACAGCGCAGCAGTCCCTTCTCCTGCTTAGAGTTCCAATGGTCCTGTCCCAGGACAGCCAGCTCTCCAGAGTGGCAGGAGGGCAGTGCTTGGGACTGGCTTCTCTGTCCCTGAATCTGTTCCTTGACCCCTTCTGTAGCCACTGGAGTACTCAAAGTGCCACCTGCATCCTGCACCTTCGGCAGGCTGGGTTGTAGTCCCCATGCAGGGTCAGCTGTGCTTTCTGCTTCCCTGGGGCCAGGGGTGGGGATCCTGGGAGAAGAGACTGTCAACCAAGCAGGAATTCAAGGCTAGGGCAGACTCAGCTGCCTGTGGCTTCAGACTGAGCCCCGAGCCCCATTTCCCTTCTCATGAGTCTCAGAGGGAGGAGAGGTGGTGAAGGCAGGCAGGTGGGTCTGTCACCCAGACTGCACACAACTTTAAGGCAGCAATGCCAGGAACAATTCTGTGAACACAGGTAACAGCACCCAGTGTTTCTAAGCTGGGAATGGTTAATGAGGTTCTTTTGGCTTGAGGGACTTGGGGTGGCATAGGTCAGTGTTCACCACAAATGTACACATGGAGCCAGGGTCATAAGTGTGTCCATGGTGACATGTCACCATTAGTGAACACCTGCTCCTGCCAGACATTGGGCTGGGAGCCCTGATATGCGGTGCCTCGGTGAGTTGACCCTGCCACCTTGCAAGAAGGTTGTCATGCCATCCCACTCCACAGAGGTGGAGACGGAGCCCAAGGTGGTGCTCAGAAGTCATACAGCTGGCAAAGGGTGGATCTGAGATTTCCACCCAGGTGGTCTGACCGCTGAGCTGTGCACCAGCAGGGGCTGCATGGTAGGATGTGTACATGCATGTGCGTGCCTGAGAGTAGGAGGGTGAAAGCAATGCAAACCTGAAACAATCAGCTTCATCATGGGCCTCTATTTTCCTCCTAGGTAAGGGGACCCTGAGGTGGGCAGCTGAAGCTGGCATAATGCCTTCTGCTTCTTGCTCCTTCCATGTCTTCCTGTCACTCCCAGCACAGTACGAAGGGATGCTGAGCTCCAGCCATCATTTCAGCCAGGAAACTGAAGGAGAAAGGAGTGCCACCTCCACCCAGGGGCTTTGTTTCCACCCCAGCTAGGCATCAAGGTTTCACGAATAAGGAAAAGGAAAGCATGGATAGTGACGGCCACTCAACTGCATGCCAGGACAAACTGGCCTTCAGCAAAGGACTCTAGACCTCCCAGTGCATGCAAGGTTGAGCCAGTGGGTGATCTTACTGCTGAAATGGGGAAACTGGGGGAAACCCAAGACAGCACTGAGCTGCGGCCCAGGCTTGGGCTATCTTCCTCTTGATCCAGGGCTCTGTCCTGGTGCCAGCTGCTGGACATCAAGGAGGCAAATGTCCAGCAGCCAGGGGCCTAGTCCAGCCGAAGGAGATGCTGAGGAGCCTGGGGCTCCCACCTGCCCTGGCAGGGCTGGCTTTGCCCCTCATTCCTCCTGTCTCAGGAGCGCACAGGTCCTTGCTGCCCTCTCCAGCCTCCCAGCCTCCTTCCTGATGACCCGCTGCGGGAGGGGCTGCTGCTGAGAGGGCACTGATCCCTGGGCCCAGAGAGGCGGAAAATCCCAGCTCAGCACATGGGCCTTTCTTCCTTCCTTTTTTCCTGACTCTTCCCACAGCTGTAGCCCTCCCCTCGCTCCATCCCAGCCTGCAGCCTCCTCCAAAGCCTCTTCCTTCTGGACAGGTGTAGGCAGACCTATGTCCAACACCTGGGAAAGGACAGGGCTTGAATCATATGGTAGCTTGGGGGTGGAGGAATTTCATGTCAGGAAGTAGTCCTCCAGGCATGTAGGGCTATTTCTGCCTGTGGCTGGCTGGTGGAGCCCCTGAGACCACAGGTCCTGGGGGTGCAGGTGCCTAAAGTCTACCTGAGGCTCATGTGCTGACCACCTCGCTGTTCCTAGGCAGAGAACAGAGGTCACCAAGGAGACTTGAGGGGGAAATTAAGGAGAGAGACTGCAGAGGACCTGCAGCTGGCTGACTCGTGAAAGACTTCCAAGTTTATTTTCCAAAGCTGGTGATGGGGGAAGCACCAGATGGTGCCCCAACAGGGGGCTCAGAGGGGGTGTCAGGGTCTTCATGGCCCTGTTGCCCAAAGGCTGCTGAGGAGGCTGAGCAGGAGGGTTATGCCCACACTTTTGGGGCAGTCTGGGTGGCCTCCTGCCCCATTGCCCTGGGGTTGGCCAGCCCTGCCACCCTGGGGGCTCCCTGTCCTGACATCTGGTGTGTCCTGGTGTTGGGAGCTCTGCCAGGGTGGGACATTGCACAGAGTGGACTGGCAGCAGGTCTGGGTCATTTGGGTCCCCTCCACTGTCTTGACGATGGGTTGGCAGGTGTCTGTGCACCACATTGAGTAAGTGGTCAGGAGACCTGAGTCTGGGGAGTGGAGAGCAGGTGCTGAGGCATGGGGTGGAGGGGACATGGATGGGAGGGAAGGGGACATGGATGGGGGGGTCCCACTTTCCACGTACCCTGGGCATGTGTGTACCAGGCCCGTGTCTGCTCACCAGTGTTCCCATGGGAGATGAGTGTGGTGCAGAAGGCCTGGCTATGGAAGCAGCGCTGTGTGTCTTCACAGCTCTCCCCACTCTGCAGCAGCTGACAGGTATAGCACTCCAGGAACACTGTGGGCATTGGCAAGGCTGGCTCAGTCTGGGGGCAGGTCTCCAGGGCCACTGCAAGTCCCTGCCCACCTCCACCCCTGCCACCCGGCCCTTTAGCCATCCTCTAAAGTCTGCCCAGCAGGGCCCTGGGCTCAGGTAAGTGAACACCCTGTGTTGGTCACTCCCTCAGGGGTACTGCTAGAAGACCCCTACTCTGGGCCTCAAGGACCTGAGGTAAATCTGACAGTGCTGGGCTTCAGGGTAGAAGGAGTACATAATGGGGAGCAGGGTGGGCTGAACGGGGACAGACCTGGAGCCGGGGCGAGCACGTGGGGAGGATGGGTGAAGCATGCCAGGTTCCAACCAGGCACAGGGGCAGCCCATCTGGCTTGGATGTCAGGGAGCCCAGGGGTGCTGGGGTGGGTGTAGGGTACCTCTGTCCCTGCTGCTAGAAATCAGGTTGGTCTCTTCCTCTTCCTCCTCATCGTCATTGTCATCGTCATCGTCATAGCCATAACTTTCCTGCCCCATGTCCTCATAGTCATTGTCCTCCTGTGTCTGCCTGCTCCCTGACCACGCAGGAATACCTGTAAACCTTGGCTACCTGGGTATAGAGGACACACTCGGGGCCAAGTGCCAAGCCCCCACCCCATACCTTCCTCTCCACACCCTTCTCATTTTACAGAAGAAGAAACTAGGACTGGGAAAAAACAGGGACTCCCTCCTCCAAAGCCCTGTAGTACTGGAGAGGCCAAATCTGGGGCTGGGAGAAGAAGGGAACCACCAGAGCCCTGATGTTGAGGGCCCAGGACAGCCTTACCCACCTCCCTCTGGTCTGGGACTCCAGCCTTTTCCCTTCCTTCTTCTCCTCGTGCCCATGCCTTATCTCCAGGCTGGGGGGCCCCTGGAGCTCCCCGTGGGCCAGGAATGTACCACCCCCTCACCCAAAGGTCACCCCCATTCCCCCGCACCTGAGTGTCCGCACAGCAGCACGGCCAAGAGGACAGCACCGAGTGCCTTCATCCTGCTGGAGGCTGTTCTGCCACTGGCTCAGTCCTTGCTCGGGGCTCTGGATCTGTGGTAACTGGGACGAAGGGCATTACTGGGGGCTTCCCGTAGCCCCCACTGGCTCTAACCTCAAACAATGGGCTTCATACTGGTCTCCAGCTGCAGGCGTCAGGCCAGACACACTGTTTCCCTCCAGGACCTCTGGGGCCAGAGGGGAAGGGGAAGTCATTGTATCAACCTTGGGGCGTCCTGTCCACCTGGGCTGTTCCTGGGGTCTAGTGGAAGCTGCAGAAGGTAGGCACCCCTCAGGAGCCAGCTGGCCAGGTCCTGCTCCTAGGCCTCCAGGCCTCAGCTCTGCAGTACTGGCTGGGAGCCTGGCCCTGGGCTGGATCAGTGCCTGTAAGCCCCACCCCAGGAACCCCACAACACAGCCACAGAGGCTCCAGTCTCAGACCCTATATCTGCAGCTCAGGGGCCAGGCACCTTCCACCCAGGAGTGGGCCTCTTCAGGATATTCAGATAAGAACACAGCCAGTGTCCAGCTGGCTCCACTCCCTCCTTTCCCCTCCTCCCCCGCCCCTGCTCTTGCTGGGTGTGGGACTCCTGCCTCCTGGCTCCTTGGTGTCCCCTCTGCCTTGAATGCTATTTCTGCTGGTGCCCACGTGGCTGTTCCCCACCCCTTCCCCAACCCTTCCCTGCCCCTTCAGCCTCTGCTCACAAGTCACCTCTCCTGAGAGACCTTCTAAGCCACCGCTCTCTCATGCCTTGTCCTCTTTGGGTACAGTATCCCCTGATGTTGTAATGCCCAGCCTCTCAGGGATACCTCTGCCATGGCCGTGCCATCCAAGGCAGGTCCTTGGTCCTAGGGAGAAGGACTGCCTTCTGGGACCGGCTCCAGTCTGCCTCGTCTGGTGGTCGGCTGGGAAAGACACCAGCCCCAGCCCTCTGGACCCCAGTGTCATTGGGTGAGCAACTGGGCTACTCAGGAGCTGGCTTGATACCCCAGCTCTCTAACCGGGGACACTTGGCCTCAAAGCACCTGGGGGGGGGCACACAGGTGGCACAGTGGGCTCTCAAGGGGCAGTGGTAGTGGAGGCAGTGGTGGGGGCTGGACTTGGACCCAGGTCAGTGTCAAGCCTGCAACAATTTGTATGACTTGAGATTCAGGGCAGCCCTTAGCTCAGCCAGGCCTCAGTTTCCCCAACTATCAGGGCCTGGGAACTACCTGGAAGAGAAGTTTGAGCCTGTCTTGGTCCGCCTTCTCTGGCTCTGGGTCTGGGACCAGCCCTTGGGTTGTCTTCCTCAGTTCCCTCCTGGGGTGAGTTACTGCAAGAGCAAGCACTCGCAAAGGCTCAGGACGGCGCCTGGTGCAGGTGATAGTTCCTTCTGGGCCGCTGGAATGATGCTTCTCAGATGCGCTAGCTCCTGAGTGCACTGTGCCTGTTCACGTCCTCTTGAGCTGTCCTTGAGGTGTCCTACAGGCACCTACCCAGGTTCCTGCCAACCCGCTGCCTGCAGCCTCTCCCAGTTCTGGCAGACAAGGTCACTTCCCAAGCCAGGGTCACCTCCCCAGTGGCCCCAGCCTCTCCAGGCCCAGTGCCTACTTCACGGCTCCAGCTGCTTCCTGTAGAGGACCTTTGACCTGAGACAGCAGGAGCTGGGTCCAGGAAGGCCCCAGATTCCCCAGGACCCCGTTGGGAGCAGGGGGCCCTCTGAGGCTGAGCAGGCTTCCTCTGAGCCCAGCTCCCCTGGTCCCAGGGCACAGCTTGTTGTGCGAATTGCCAAGGGACAATAGCAATGTCTAACTTGCTTAAATGAAACTTGGGTTTGCTGATCCTCAGCAACTCTAGGGGGTGGTGGTTTGGTCACATTTGTTTTGTTGACAGGCACCAGTAGTGGGACGTGCAGGCCGTCCTAGACTGTGCACACGCACCACCTTCCACACTAACACACTGTTCCCTCCCCCCTACAGGAAAGGCTGCTGGGTCTGGCCTAGCCTGTACAGAAGCGAATATGTGGCCAGGCCAGGACTGATGGCCCATGGGTGGGTTCAAGGCCCCTTGCCCCAACACATGGATGACAGACACTGGCCCCCTCAGCACTGTGTCAGCTCATAGGTGGGAACAGCTGGCTCAGTGTGTGTGGAGCCCACTCCTCCCTACCCAGGCATTGTACTGCCTCTTGAACAGCCCCAGGGAGCCCACACCTCCCTCAAACTCCAGAGCAGGACCATGTGCCCACCCAGGGGAGGAAGGCATTGTTTTCTGTGGTAGTCATGTCCTTTGAGAGCCCCAGGTCTAGAGCCGAGGGCTAAGATTCCAAGGGGGACTCCCAGGGCCACTTCAGAGCCTCTGTTCTGCAGGACCTCTACCCCTAGGTTGGACTTCCCTTCCGCCTAAGGCTTCCTCCCGGGGCCATGCCCACACCCAAAGGGCTCTTTGAAGACAGCCTGGTTTCCTGGCTCCCTAGCCAAAGTCCTCTGTGCTTCAGGGACTGATCTTGCCCACTCTGTCCTGCTTGGCAGAGCTGGCTCTGGGGTGGCCCCTGTGGACACTGCTGGTCTTTGGTTCTGTCCTTGTGTGAGTCATGTTGCTCTTTTGGGCAACAGCAGCCTTTCAGAGCTGGATACTGGCTATGGACAGGGGCACCTGGCCGTCCACCCTCCCTCCAGCTGGCAGCAGGTGAGGTGTGGAGGAGGGGCTCAGGGGCAGTGGCAGTGCTAGCGCCATGCTGAGCAGCAGCTGTGGACCCTACTGTCCTTGGTGCTGTGTAGCTCCCTCCTGGGCTCCAAGACCCTGCTCTGCACATGCCCCACATGGCCTCTGGGGACACCATGGTGTCAGGTTGTAATTTGGAGGCATCAGACCAGGAAGTTCTAGAACAGCACATTGGAGCTGGGGTGGGAGCTGGGGTGGCATTTGGGGAAGGGTCTGCTGTCTACATTATGAGAATGGACTTTTGGGAGCAGGTAAGCTGCAGGATGCAGGTCCTCGAGCTGATCTCTCTTGCTCTGGGCTCCCTCCACCATCTCTGCAACTGACCTTCTCCTATTCTGGCAGGGGAAGCAGCTCCCTTTTGGAGCAGACCTTCTTCCCCTGTGTGGGCAGGGGAGGGATTCCCCTGGGGGTGATGAGTGGTCTTGTTTAGGTCCGGCAGGCACAAAAGGCAAGTTCTTCTAGCCTAGAACTTGCACTTAGAACAAAGAACCATGGATGGGGGGGCAGGGAGAACAGGGTTCAAGGTCTTCACTCCCCTTCACCCCTGGAACCCATGAGGGAGACATCTGACCATCTTAGAAGCCCTTTCTGTGTGCACCCTTGACCTCTGTGCACCTTCTCTGGCTATTCCGCACCCCAGAGCCTCAGTGTCTCTTTTCCCTAGTCCTTAGATCCCTTGGTCCCATTAATATAGAAATCCCTGCCCCTTCCCCCCACTCCCCCCCCCCGCCCCGTAGCAAAGGGTGACAGTCAGCCTCACTCCAGCTCAGCAGGCTGCCAGGTCTTCAGCCCTCCCAGCTCATCCTGCCTTGGCCACTGCTCGAAGGAACCCTTGTTCCTGCCCCCTCAGCAGACAGCTCATTCCCTGTTTTTCTGAGGCTGACCTCTGAGGGTCAAGGAAGTCAAGGATCAGCTTACTCCCCCCCCCACACACACACTCAGTGTCTCCCTTAGAAAATGCATGGGCAAGGGATATTGTGTTTACCATTTATGTTATATCATTAGGCATCATCTCCCTCTCCTCACGTGGTAAGACTGAAAATAATCATGGCAGGTACTCTGCGGCTATGTGGAAGGACAACACTTTCCGTGTCCCAAATTAGAGAAGCAGGAAGTAGGTACGTGAGGACCACCTCCTGCATCACGCCCTGCGTCAGGGAAGAAAGAGGCCTGGTCTTCATGAGAGGCTCTGCGTCCTGGGAAGCCCCAGATCTTCCTGACCCATCTGCAGCACTGAGGGTTTCCCTCACCTTCAAGGCCTCTTCCTTCTCCTCAGTCACAACCCAAAATTCCAGCTTTTGAAATCAGTTTCTTATCTCCTTCCAGTAAGACACCTCCCCCCCACCCCACAGCTGAGTTCTCCTGGCTGATGGGGGTGGGGCAGCAGGACAGCTCTCACTTGTCCTTTCAGGTCTCAGCAGCAAGAACACATCACACTGGGGTTACAGCCTCTGTGGCACCCCACTGTTTGCATACAGTAAGCCCCTTGAACCCCCAATGGCAGTGCTGGATAGGGGCTTTGAAGGGCTGGAGCAAGCTTGAGAGAAAAATCTCTCAGAGAGGGGACTCCTGAGTCACAGACAGGTCCTCTGATTCCTTTCTGCCCTCATGTGGACATGGAACATTCTCTGTGCCTAGCTACAAGGGGCAGAAAGGAACTCTGGCTGGTCCAAGCAGAAGATGGATGTGTTGTCTGAACAGCTGAGAGCCTGGAGACCCTTAGGCCACCCTGGTCTCTTCTTCTCCTGGTGGGGGTGGGCTGTGGGGGACACTGTGGGGGTGGATGGATCAGACAACTGTTCATTCTATGCTTAGAGTCCAGGGCCAGCCACATGCTTGCTCTCCAGGGCTCCTAGCCAACCGAAAGCTGTTTTCCAGAAAGAATAATGTGGTGAGCTGGGTTTTTCCCACAAGTGTGTGTCCACACCCTTTCTCTAGAGCCTGTAAGGCCTTATTGGGAAGAATGGTCCTTGCAGATGTAATTGAGTTCAAGACCTTGAGGTCAACCTGAATTAGGGTACATCCTAGTTTCAATGACAAGTGTCCCTATGAGGGAAAGGAGAGGGATCTTTGAAACACGAAGCACAGAGAAAAAGCCCTGTGAAATGGAGCAGAGATTAGAGTGACTAAGCCAAGCTGGAAGAGGCAGGAGGCAAACTTCCCTTTGGGTGAGTGTGGCACCTCAACTAACACAAAGAGCTCCAAGGTAGTGGCTGTTCCTTGCTTGGACCTCAGGGTTCTTCTGGACTGTCCTCCCAGGCCTGCTGCAGCTCTGTGAAGTACCTTGGTTTGGCTCAACCACTGGGTACCTTTGACTTCATCAGGTCAGGGTCCATGGGCAGCCCTGCTCCTGCTGCAGCCCCACTGCACAGTGGTGTCATTGGACCACCACTAGCTTAGAGGAAGCAGCAGAGCCAGGCCCATGTCACTTCTATGGAGCTGGAGAGCTGAGCCCCACTTCAAGCCATCAGTCCCAGCCCCAACCCCTGGGCCCCAGGAGTTCCCTGAGATGGTGAATTCTGGATTCTGGTGGGGTTTACGATCCACCTCTGAAAGTGCAGGCTGTGCTCAGACATCGGAAGCATTTGAAGACCTCTTATCTGTGCTATCAGAGCAGGGGCCATGGAAGACAGCTGAGGCTCCTCAGTCTGAACAGGAGTGCAAAGCTGGCCAGACAAATCCTGGAGCAGGA